ACACACACTGCCCCCATAGTCCTGTGGAAGTCAGGAGACCCAAGAGAGTCAGAACTGTCTTTAGAGCCATAAAGTACCAGCCATAGGGAGCTGACCAGGAAGGTGCCGTGTGTGGACAGTCACGCAAAGTCACAGCTCACACTACATTGGCAAACACAGAAGTTAGCAACGTGGTTTCCTCCTTGATCTTTTTTTGAGAATGAAACTTGTTAAGATTTTTTTTTTTTGTAGCTTCCTTATTTGGCAACAACCCTTTATTTGAGGAGTCCCCTATAATGGGAGCAGGAGAGAAATAGAAGCAAGCATCTCTGCCCTCGGCTCCGACCTGTGCATTTTGTGTGCGTCCCCTCTGACCCTTTTAAGGAAGTGCCCTTGGTGTTGGCTCCATTTCACCAGGGGTCAACGAGGTGACGTTCACTTGCCCAAGGTTATCACACATCTTGAGAGCTGCAGAGCTGGGACTCCTTCCCAGGGCTGTCTGATAGCAAAGCCATGGACATTCTGTTTGCTAAATAATATATTAAAAACTTCTAACTATAAAAATAGCATTGCTCAGTAGAGAAGAGCTGGAATGTGTGCACAAGTCACTGTAATCCTGTCACCCAGAGGTCATCACTGTTAACAATTTAAGGCATTTCCTTCCTGGCTTTTTCTATACATTTTTTTTTTTTCTGTAATAGAGAACTTATTGTGTATAAGGCTCAGGATAATGTTATATCCGGAGTATTTTCCTGTGTCATCAAACGTAAAAATTTCCTCAAAACACTTCCTGCAACAGCTGCACGGCCCCTTAACCCATGATGTGCCACCACCCTTCCCTGACTTTTTGGGCCTCTGGGCAGCCTCCAGGCTTTGTCAGAGCAAGGCTGCTGCAGGTATTTTTGTGTCTATAATCTTCATGGCTGTATCTTCGTTTATCTGTTTTGAATCATTCTGAAAAGTCAAAAACTGCTGAAGAATGTCAGCATACTTAGGGGAGTTCTGGTGGCCTAGAGGCAAGACGCTGCACTGCAGTCCCAGAGGTGCGCAGTTCAAATCCACCAGATGCTCTGCTGGAGAAGGAGGGGCCATCTCCTCCTGTACCAGTCAGATCTGATTTGACGGTACACACACAAAAAAATAATAATTTTTTTTTTAAAAGCGTTAGCATACTTAAGACTTAAGCCATCTCTTGGGATAAGATTTTAGTATTAAAACATAGCAGGTAATTTTCAACTTTCTAATCAGTCAGGAAATAGCTGGAGACAAATAAGCCCTTGCCCAGCATGTTCAGCTTGTCCAGAAGCTGGGGTTCCAGTCCTGACACCTGTGGTCCTGGGTCATACCAACTGCCTCCCTGAGCCTGGTCTGGTCTCCTGATGGCACCTGTCCCTCCTTAACACACAGGGATAGATGTCCCTGGAGTCTGCATGCTCCTTTATGAATGAAAGTTTCCAGCTCTTGAAGTTTCAAGCATTTAGGGGCCCAGTTCAGGCCTGCAGTCTGTAGCTTCCTCTCTCTGCCACTCCCAGGCACAAGCTGGCAGACCAGCGGACCAGGAAATCTCTGGACCGGGGCGAGTTCCGCCTTCTGCACTATGCTGGCGAGGTGACCTACAGCGTGACTGGTGAGGAGCCTGAGGCCAGGCCCCGTGGGGGGCCAGGAAGGGGGCTCTCTCCTGTACCTCACATCTGCTCTCCTCTCCCAGGGTTTCTGGATAAGAACAATGACCTCCTCTTCCGGAACCTGAAGGAGGTAACGAGGACTGAGGGACGGGGTGGTGTATGGGGTTGTGGGACCCACCCCCCCGTATGTACCTCTGCTTAGGGAATTTGTCCTCCCTGCCTTTGTGCTCCCACCTGACGCCCGCTTCTGCCTTCACAGACCATGTGCAGCTCGAAGAATCCCATTATGAGCCAATGCTTTGACCGGAGTGAGCTCAGTGACAAGAAGCGGCCAGAGACGGTATGGAGCTGGGGGACCAGAGAGTGTGTGTGTCCACCAAGTGCTTGCATGAGCCTGGAGTGTGGCATTGTGCTTGTGAGCTTGTGTGTTGATGCTTTTATGTCTGGATGAACTGCCTGTGGATGCATTTGTATACACCTGTTTGAGTGGGCACTTCTTTGTGTTTCTAAAGTGCCCTTTCTCTGTCAGTACCTATGTGTATGCACCTGCCTCTGTGCAGGTACCGTATGGGTGTTCCTACTTCTGTGAACATCTGTGTATATACTTGTCTCTGTATTTGCACGTGTGTACATTCACCCACTCAGCAGATCTCTGTTGCATGCATTGTTGGGTACCAAGGATGCAGACCTAAATACTTGACACATAGATGTGTATGAAGTGCTTGAGAAACTTAGGAAAGAGAGGAAACTGTGCCTGCGGGACTAGATGAGGCAAGGAAATGAGAGAAGGCTTTCTGGAAGAGGAGACATTTGAGATGGTTTGGGGATGAATTGGCACATGTCAGGAGTCCTGGTGGCACAGTGGATAAGCACTCAATTGCTGACCAAACACTCAGCAGTTAAACCCACCAGCTACTCTACAGAAGAAAGACGTGGTTGTCTGCTTCGGTAAAGGTCCAGCCTCAGAAACCCCATGGGGAAGTTCTAGTCTGTCCTCTGGAGTCACTCCAAGTTGTAATTGACTCAGTAGCAATGGGTCTGCTTTGCTTTGGGCTTTTAGGTGCTTGCCAGCTGGATTTATGGGAGGGTACTGGAGGCAGCAAGTCCCAAAAAGGCTAGGAGGTTGGCAGGAGGGTGATGTCATCGAGGAGAGGGTGGGTGTGGCCAGGTGCCAAAAGAGCTCTGTGAAGTGGAGAGTGAGGTGTGGCTGTTGAGGTTGGCACGGGGACAGCCAGGGCAGCTCCAGCAGGAGAGTTTGTTGGGAGTTGGGAGCCAAAGTGCTTCAGGCTTGGGAGGGAGGCATGGAGACAGAGCTGCCTGGTCTGGCTCCCCAGCACCCTGTCCTCTGCTGCTCCCCTTAGTTCTGTCCCTGGGGTCCTTCATCCTTTCTGCCTCATTGAGGACCCCTGTGTGCCTGCTCCTCCCCAGGTACTTTGAGCAAACCACAGACTCACATATCATCATCCTGAATCGTCCCTGGGCACTCATGCTTGGCTGGTTTATAGTGAGGCCTTGATTGCCTAATTCTCCAGTCCTGCTTCTTTTGTGTCCCCTAACTCAGGACAGGGATCACCTGCCACCCAGTCCCCAAGCCAGAAACCTGCACATTATCCCTGACTTCACCACTCCACCTTACTTGTCCAAACAGCCTCTGAATTTCTGTCACTTGAGTACTTCTCAAACTTCTTCCCTCAACTCTTCTTTCCCCACAACCACTGACATGGTTTAGTCCTTGTTATCTCTCCTCACAACCAGCCAGCCAGCCTCCTCCCTGGTCTCCCAGCTTCCTGTCTGCCCTATCTTCCCATCTTCCACCTGTGTGCCCTAGCGCTACTCCAGAACGTCTGTCTGTCCCTGCTGCTCACTCACTCCACATTCCTCAGTGGCTCCTTATTTCCTTCAATCTCGATAATGTAATTTTTTTTTCATTTATATCTTTTTTTTTTAATTCATTCACTTTTGCACCTTTTCCTCCCTTCCCTTCTCCCCCAGTGCATTTTTCAATGCTCCTCTTGTTCCAGATTGTTATGGTAATATGATTCTTTTATATTTTTTTATTTTTATTTTATTATTTTGTGTATGTGTGTGACGTCAAATCGGATCTGACTGGTACAGGAGGAGATTGCCCCTCCTTCTCCGGCAGAGCATTTGGTGCATTCGAACCTCATATCTCTGGGATTGCAGTGTAGCTTCTTGCCAGTAGGCCACCAGAGCTCCCCGATAATGTGATTCTTGAGTCTTGCCATGATGCTGCCCTTGTCTGCCTTATTCTTCTTTTTTTCCCTTTTTTTCTCGTTGTGTACATCAAATCGGATCAGACTGGCACAGGAGGAGATTTCTCCTCCTTCTCCAGCAGAACATCTGGTGGATTCGAACCACACGCCTTCAGGATTGCAGTACAGCTTCTTGCCACTAGGCCACCAGAGCTCCTTGTCCATGTATATTCTTAAACTGCTAGTTATAAGCAGTTCCTAGATTCTCTAGGATATAAAAACCTGTTAGCTCTGGAGTCACAGTGAATTTCTTTTGCTGAGAAGTCTGCTGTCGCCATAGGCCTGAGTTCCCTAAGAGTCCTGCAGAGCAATGATCAACCTCATTGCTTGAATGTGGAGGGGAAAGACCTGTTATTTAGGGATGTAGCTATAAAATTCTAGGTGAAAAAAAAAATGTTTGCTAAAGGGAGACTTGAGGAAGCCTGAGCAGCTCTTTAAGGGCACAGAGTAAGCTCCTATGATAAGATCTTTAGCTCAGCCAGGCTGAGTGGGTAACGAATTACATTGACAACCCAAAGGCAATTGGTTTGAATCCACCAGCTGCTTTGAAAGAGAAAGGTAGCACTTAATAGAGATGTGAGGTGAAACGTGACCCTTCCTCTACTGTGAGAGAATGGGTGTGGTGGGGGAGTGGTGGGAATGGAGCTTCTCTGCCCAGGGGAGGGGCCGCTGCAGGAGTCTGCAGCTTCAGCACAGCCCTGTCCAACCTTCCATCCACATTTGATTCACCAGGTTGCCACTCAATTCAAAATGAGCCTCCTGCAGCTGGTGGAGATCCTGAAGTCTAAAGAGCCTGCCTACATCCGGTGCATCAAACCAAATGATGCTAAGCAACCCAGTAGGTGCCTTCCACCCTGCGTCCTGTGTGCACAGGGTCCCCCTGCAGGAGGCAGGTGCCAGGTCTCTGACCACCCTTTACTCCCCAACAGGCCGCTTTGATGAGGTCCTGGTCCGGCACCAGGTAAAATACCTGGGGCTGATGGAGAACCTGCGAGTCCGCAGAGCAGGCTTTGCCTATCGGCGCAAATACGAAGCTTTCTTACAGAGGTGAGATGGGGCTGTCAGCAGAGAGAGTTGGAAGGGGTTGGGGGAAAGACTAGACCTGTTACAACTCCTTAGATCTTATAAGGGAGAATAGGGATCTCATCCCATTTTAGGGATGAGAACACTGAGGCTCTGGGCCGTGGAACCCTCTATGCTACATACCAGATGCCAACCTTGTAGAAAGGGCACTAGCCGTGAGGAGTCTGCACAGAGGAGTTGGTTGGGGGACCTGCAGTCTGCCTCCCTGTGTCTTTCTCTAGAGGTTGAGGTACCAAGCCTGTAAGGAGCGTGGAGCCCAGAAAAGACAGAAAAATGTAGTCTTGAGTTAGAGGTCTGGCGAGCTGGAGAGGATTAGGGTTCAAATTTGAACTCTGACACTAGTCTTAGGGCTTTAGGCAGATTATATGAGCTCAGTTTTCTCATACATAACATGGAATAGAGACAGAATTCTCAACTTTCTAGGGGCTGTGAACAAATCTGTTTGTGGACCCAGCAGGTGCTCAGGGAGCTCTTGTTTGGGTCCCCATAGAGGAGCACTATCTTGGGTGGGGACTGGAGTGCATTCTTGTTTCTCATGACCCCCAGGTACAAGTCGCTATGCTCAGAGACCTGGCCCACATGGCCGGGGCGGCCTCAAGATGGGGTGGCTGTGCTGGTCAGACACCTCGGCTACAAGCCAGAAGAATACAAGATGGGCCGGTGAGTGGTACCCGTGCCTGGTGGGTCAGAGTCAGGGATGGAGGAGCAACTGACCAGAAGTTGCCTTCTACTGTCCTCTCAGGACCAAGATCTTCATCCGTTTCCCAAAGACCCTGTTTGCCACAGAGGACGCCCTGGAGGTCCGGCGGCAGAGTCTGGGTGAGAGAAAGGGCCACTCTTCCTGTCCCATTTGGGATTATTATGTGGAACAGGGGGTCAATCCATGTTGCTGCTCCAGGAACTTCATCTCCCCTCCTCTGTACCAGTTTTCACACCCGCTGTCTACCCTACACCCTGGAAGCAAACTCTGAGCATTTTCCAAGTACATTGGCTTCCTGCTTCTGTCATTCATTTGCCATTATGGCAAATTGAGTTGAGTATGACGCTTAGTGACCCTCTGAACAATAGATCTGAACATTGTCCTATCCTGTGCCATTCTCTCTCTCTGACACACTTGAGCCCATTGCTGCAGTCACCGTTCAGTCCATCTCACCGAGGTTCTTCTCTTTCACTGACCTTTCACCCTTGTTCATTTACTATTTCATATTTAACCTCTCATTTGTCAGCTCCTTTAGTCCCTCCCTCATTTCATGCTTCCCCGCCCCTAGCCCCTGCTAGTACCTGGCTGGATTCTCCTGAGCTCTGGCCAATCTGCTTTCTTTTTCAACCACAGCCACACAGATCCAGGCCACCTGGAGGGGCTATCACTGGCGGCAGAAATTCCTCCGAGTGAAGCGATCAGGTCTGGGGTTCTGGGGTCTTCTGGAGGGGCAGGGTCTGGGACTAGGGTGGGCCACCGTGCTGAGGTGAGCCATCCGTGGTCTCTCTAGCCATCTGTATCCAGTCATGGTGGCGTGGAACGCTGGGCCGGAGGAAGGCGGCCAAGAGGAAGTGGGCGGCAGAGACAATCCGGCGGTGAGCACTGGGGCGCCATGAGGGGCGGCAGGGCAGGGTGTGCAAGGTTCCTTCTCCAGACGATTTTTTTCTTTCCGGTTATAACTACTCTTTTTCTTTGACTCACAGTGTTGTATGAGACATTTACTAGGTTTTTGGGTGTTTTTTTTTTTTAAATTATTTTTGTGTGCGTGTACCGTCAAATCAGATCTGACTGGTACAGGAGGAGATTGTCCCTCCTTCCCCAGCAGAGCATCTGGTGGATTCGAACCGTGCACCTCTGGGATTGTAGTTGCAGCTCCTTGCCACTAGGCCACCAGAGCTCCCCTAAGACATTTACTAGTTTTAATATGTATCCATAAGGTTAATATTCATATGGAGTAGAACATGGAAAAGTGCAGAACTAAAGCAGTCTCTCTAAAAAGAAAAGCATACATTTCTTAAAATTTAAAAACATTGAACATAATAAGGTTGCACCGAAATTACTGGCTGTTTTTACAAACAGAATGAGGTCGTCAGTCTCTAGATAAAAGATGAGTGCAAAGAGGAACCACAAAGCAAACACATAATCCATATGACAATCTATGATACCAACAACAGAGACATATGTAAAGATGTGCAAAGTAGCTGTGATTTCAGTACTACAAAATCATGAACTAGAAGCCAGACATGTAACAATCTCTTGGCAATATTTTACATTTCCCTACTTTCTTTTTT